CGTCTGTGTTAGTATGCAGCCACTCCACAAAGCGAGCTATTGCACGTAAATACGTGTACTTGGTCTTCTCCGCTGTCGTATTCTCCAGCACTTCTTCAACGCGTGCATCGAGCTCGTCCATCGTTGCCCTTAGCTCAGTGACCTTTCAAGATCACATAAATATTTTTCAGCCAATCACAATCGTCAAATAATCTTAGTGCAATTTGCACAGCGAATTCCATCCATCTATACATGTACCAGTATAATTGACAATGACTCGGCATTAGTATGCTTTCTCTACGAAGCAGGAACTTCGGTCAGTCGGAGTTGAGTCACTCGACTCCAACTTACATACACTCAAGTTGGGTGTATGTAAGTTATCTGAGGGCACTACATTTACCTTACGCCCATGACAACAACAAAGCTTAGTCACATAAACCCAGAGCTGTTCCGTGCGAAGTGGCTTTGTTCGTTTAGCCAAAATCGGTGGACTATGGACTCGTGCGACATTTGCAAATGGTTAAAGCCCTATTGGGCAAAGAGGGCTTTGACCCTTTGCAAATCTTGGGCCAACTACGCCCTGGGCCAATACCGAGCGCTATCGTAAGGGTTACTCCGAAAAAAACAACAGCGATTTTTATCCAATCCGACTCTTTTAGGATATATGAAATGAATTCCAACTTATTTCACCGGATTTCCATGGAGTCTCGGAATAAGTGCCAATACAAAACGCCATATAAATGCTCTCTTATCTCATAAGAGCCTTACATACCGGAATCTAGTGAGCACGTACAGTTTTTCCGTTTATTTATAAAAGATCTCGTGCACGCACAGATCGGAGCCCCAGGCGCGTAGACATTATGCGAAGGGCGCCGCGAGACCTTGACACACCTGCAGGCACAGCTGGACAAGAGCAAGCAGCTAAACAATTGTTTGGTGATTTTTTTTTCTTCTACAGGACTATCAAAAGATGGTTTAGAAAACACGCACACAAAACGCTAGATGCAGAAACTAGTTTACGGACTCAGACGTTTTACTCATTGCTGACAGCGTTTTCTATATATCTACAGACCAAAAAGAGTGATCGAGCTCGTGCTACTGACGTTTTGGTCGCGAAGGCAACCACCCTCGGCTATTTCTCCCAAACTCTCAATCTCCTACGTGAACGCTATCCTGCTTCGCTCTCCGATTCCAAGCGTACCGTCAAGATTCGCGATAAGATGGGAAGTGCAATTGAAGAGCGCAATCTGCGCTCTAATTTGCGCAGAGAAATGACGCCACAAGATCCACTGTCAACAACCTATGCGTGCTAGTAGAATACTTGATAATGTATGCAGATATTGCTACTGGTGTAAAATCACTACACGATGCCGCGCTACTAACTGTTATGTGGCATACTTTTGGAAGGACCATCGACACGTGCTTTGCGCGGAAGCATTAGCTCAATGTTGCTGCATATGGGAAACTCTATCTGACGATTGCAAGAATCAAAACACCTGTAGTACAGGGTGTCTCCATTTATAGCGCTGCTGAAAGATGGCAGCCGTGTGTGGTGCATGCATTGGGCGTGCTATTTATATGCTACGATGAGCCTTCTGAGTATATTTTTCCACTCGTTCCACACTACCCTGAGTCCGATCTCCGGAGGGCACACGTATACTCAGAAGGAAGCCGTACTGTACTGGAGAGCGTGGAAGTAGACAGTGATACAGAGGAAAAACCGGCGTCTAAACGCAAGCTCAAGCGTTCAAACGTAGCCAGCTATATTACCCAAGTTATTCGCAGCACCGTGAAGAATATGCCGCCACCATGACCCGATCGCGCTTCAACAGCCTCCTCCCAGTCCCGCCGTCG